AATATTAAATGATCCAGGAAGTATTAAAAGAAGATGGAAGGAATATACTGAGTCATTGTATAGAAAGGAATTGGCAGATACACAAGAATTTAACAAAATAACATATGAGCAAGAGCCTATGGTGATGAAGGAAGAAGTTCAAGCTGCTTTAAAGGAACTCTGAGGGTTAGAGAGGCATAACCTTGCCCAGGTTTCACAAGACCACAAAGAAAACCAGGCCAGGACCTAAATTCCTTTCCTCCCGTAATGAACCATAGGTCTCTTCCATACCTGATGCCCAGACACAAAGGGAGACAGAGCGGCACGTGGCAAGGGGACCGGTGTAGATGGAGAGCACGAGGGAGGAAGGGGCGCTGGGCTGAGAGGCTCGATCAGGAGCTTGGTGACAGACAGTGCGACAAGGCAAGGCGAGGGATGGTGTATGAGGAAAAGTGTGAGGCCTTAAGGAGGGAATAAAGTGATAGAAGGGACACCAAGTGAAAGGGAGCTCAGGAAAGGCAGCGATGCTCTGAGGGTGGGTGACTGGGGAGCAAGGTGAAGGGGCGGAGTGGGGGAGGTGGAGACGGAGGTTGAATGGAGCCTGGCAGACAGGTCACCAGAGACAGTGGGTAAAGGGTCTGCGGGGGAGGTGGGGCCCGGAGAGCACGAGGCTCCGTCGCCAGCCCCGCCCCGGTGGCTGTCTCCGCCCCGGCTGGCTATCCCCGCCCTGCATGGCTGTCCCTGTCCCGGTTGGCCGTGCGCCTGCGCGCCCCGGCCTGCGTGGTGGTGAGTCTGCGGCTTCCTTCTCGTCTGCTGTTTGGTGTGGTAGGTGGGTTCTGGGCCCGGGGCAGCCGACTGGCCGTTGAAACGCGCCGGAGTTGAGAAGGGGACCTGAAAGTCCAACAGGGTCCCTAGGACCCTCCTTTCTCAGGTTGGGCTGCAAGACTAAGCTAGAGATTTTGCGTTAACTGCCAGTGCTGAACCCCGGAGGCTAGGAGGAAAGAGAGCTATTCAGGCCTGTAGGCCAGAACCTCCAAAAATGAAACACCATATCCTGGGAACCGGAGCCCTTTGTTACAGTTTTATCCGTCCCACTGACTTACTGTCAGCGATTTGGACCTAGTCCTTCCCCACCCCCCACCCCCATCTCCCTGTTCCTCCATCTGCCCACCTGCAGACAAAACCGACCTTCAGAGCTCAGTCTTCCATCTGGCCTTTCAAATTAATTTCTTTGGTAAATTTCCTCCTAAGACTTGTCCCCCTGATGTACCCAACCACAATCTCTCCCTCTTCTCTTGGGCACTCCCAAGGGGCCATGAACTCTAGCCCTTCAGCTTCTGTGGCACAGACCTGAGTTGTCTGTAATCAGACTAGAAGAAGGGAGACGTTCCATTCAGTTGTCTCCTATGTATTTATTAAAACTGGGAGAAGGATGGGCAGTCTCCTCCCGTTGCATTAACTGCCTTTGGGGACCCACTGGAGGGTCAGTTCCGACTCTGCAGTACACACAACAACAACATGTATTAAGTCAGGGAGTTCTAGTGGCCTAATAGGAGTAGCACAACTAGCAAAAAGACATGCGGTTCAAATCCACCAGCCACTGTGCGGGAGAAAGATGGGCAGTCACCTCCCATGCGATTTATTGCCTCTGAAGTTGGAAGGTCAGTTATGAATCAGTCCTGACTGGACTGCCCATAAAATCTCTAGGGAGCTTTGGTTGCCTGGTCTGTAGGGAGTTATACAACTACCCAAAGGTGGCACCTCAGGTTCTAATTCACTGGTGACTCAGTGGAAGAATGAGGGCAGGGCAGTCAGTCTTATGCTCTGCTATTTACAGGGTCCAAAAACCCCCTGGAGGGTCAGCTCTGAGTTGGTGGAGAGCAGTGAGTGTCACTGTCAGTCAGTCTCTGCATCAGCTTTGCAGGGGACACTAATGAACTCTTTTACCTCCAGTAAAGATGAAGTAGCTGGGAGCCTTAGAGATTTAAAAGCCTTTAGATTTAGGAGGCTTTTTTCTGTGTTGTACTAGTGCACCAGAATAATTTTTTTTGTTGTTTAAACCTGTTGTGACTAAACATGATTGCAGTAGAAGGGAGCACTGGTCATAAATCTAAATTTTCATTTTACTCCTGGTATGCCACTCACTGACTTAAGCAACCATAGGCAAGTGTCTATCCTCTTTCGCTTAGCCCATCTCTGAATATTGAGGGGGGTGGCCAGTGTACAAGGATTGTACTATTACTGTATTGTTAATAACACTTGGACCCTTTTCTTGACCTACCAGGTCCTGCCTGAGCTAGCCCCTCTCTACCCAAAATATTAGACTCCTTGCCCTGCCTGAGGGCCTTCACACTTGCCAAGAACACTTAACCACCTCCACTTCTCACATATTTGTTTTTCAGATTTCCATTAGAACAACTCTTGCTTAGGGAAACCATGCCTGACAATGAAGACTAGATTGGCTTCCAGATTTCTAAATGCCATGGCACATCCTGCCTTAATTGTGTTTAAAGGCTTATGTGGTTTGTCTCTGTCTATAGCCCCTAGTCTTTAATACCTTTAAATGTTGTCAGGGGTGGAAGGCTTAGAAATTTTTTTTGTAGAATGAATGATCTGATTGAGTCCTGAGATTGGTATAGATGAGGAGATGGAGATCAACAGTGAGTTAGCAGAGCCAGAATTTTAATCCAGTCTCACTCCAAGTTCTGAACCTCCATCTCAGCTGCCCTGTCTCATTCTAGGACCTGTGCTGGGGAGACGTTCTCCAAGCGCCCTGTGCCAGCCCACAAGTCTGGCCAGGAAGAAGAGGATTTTTAGGCTGTGGCAGGGTAATCTTATCCAACTGAGTTTCCTGTGGCCTGAGGTGGAATTGGCCTTCCATAAACACAGATGGCACCTCGACTACAGATACGGCTGATGACGTGGGATGTGAAGGACACACTGCTCAGGCTTCGCCACCCTGTTGGAGAAGAGTATGCCACCAAGGCCCAGGCTCATGGGCTGAAGGTGGATGCCACAGCCCTGGGGCAAGCCTTCAGGCAGGCCTATAAGGCTCAAAGCCAGAGCTTTCCCAACTACGGCCTGAGTCAGGGCCTTACCTCCCGCCAGTGGTGGCTGGATGTGGTCCTGCAGACGTTCCACCTAGCGGGTGTTCAAGATGCAAAGGCTGTGGCCCCCGTCGCTGACCAGCTATATGAAGACTTCAGCAGCCCTTGTACCTGGCAAGTGTTGGAGGGGGCCAAGGCCACCCTGATGGGGTGCCGCAAGCGAGGTCTGAAGCTGGCTGTGGTCTCCAACTTTGACCGACGGCTTGAGGACATCTTGGTGGGTCTTGGCCTGCGGGAACACTTTGACTTTGTGCTGACATCTGAGGCTGCTGGCTGGCCCAAACCAGACCCCCGCATTTTCCATAAGGCCTTGCAGCTTGCTCATATGGAGCCGGCAGTGGCAGCCCATGTTGGGGATAGTTACCGCTGTGACTACCAGGGTGCCCAGGCGATCGGCATGCACAGTTTCCTTGTCACTGGCCCAGAGCCTCTGGATCCAGCAGTCAAGAATTCTGTACCTGAAGACCAAATTCTTCCCTCCCTATCCCATCTCCTGCCTGCCCTTGACCGCTTGGAGGGCTCGCTTCCAAGGCCCTGAAGCTCCACAGAAACCTCTAAACACACATGGGAGACGTTCCGGGCTTCCAGATCTGGTCTGTGCTGCCCCATCATGGATCCAATCTATAAAACAGTGTGCTGGCCTTTCTGCCCTGCCTCCCTAACCTGCTTCTTGTCTCATTCATTCTTGTTTACACTGGTTGGTGTTCCTGCCCAGTATACCCGCCCGCCCCTGTCCACCTCCAATACGACCAAGAGAGGGCCTAACTAGCTTTAAAACTAAGCATTTTCAAACTTTGAGTTGAGAGTAGGGACCTGCAATCATGGGCTATTTTGCAATATGCAAAACAGAAAAAGAATAAAAAAGCTGAATTGACAGAGGCAGTAAGGCTTCTGATTGAGGTTTCTGCAGCCTCTGAGGCACCCTCGCCCCTTGGAAGTGTGACGTGAGAGGAGCTTAGTATGAAAATCAAGATATTAAAAATACGCTATAAGGGACACCATATGCCAGATTTTTTATAAGGAAAGCCAGGGTCATAAGAAAAGCCACTGTTAATGCTGTCATTTGTTGGCACTTGGCTCTATGTATTTACCCTCAGCGTTACCTATGAGAGGTGTTATGAACCCCCAGTGCCCACACTTTATAAATGCGGAAACTGACTGAGAGGTTAAATCGTGTGCCCAAATCACAGGAAATAAGCTATGGCCTCAGGACTAGGTTTTAGTCTGACTCCAGAGCCCATTGGCCCAACCACTAGATGGCGGGTAATGGATCGGTCACATGAGAGTGCAGTGGAGAACTAGAGGCTATAGGATGCCAATCGAGCATGAGTAGAGTAATGGAGAGAAGATGGAAGGAAGGGGACCAAAGCTCAGGGTGGTAGGACTGTAGGGAGAACATCCTGGTAGCACAGTGGATTTACTGTTGGACAGCAAACCAAAAGATTAGTGGTTCAAATCCACCAGGTAGTCTGGTGGAGAGAGGTGAGGCAGTCTGTTTCTATAAAGAACTAACCACCTTGGAAGCTACTTAGAGCAATTCTACTCTTGTCCTATAGGCTTGTTATGAGTTGGAATCTACTTTGAGTTTTAAAATTCTCTTTCTGCCTCACCCCTCTACCCACCTTTGTACTTAAGTCTTTACTGAGTACCTTTGTCTAGTCTAGTGCCAGGCACTGGGGAATAGAGTTAAAGCACAACAGATGGGTATCTACAGTCTGCATGTTTGGGTGCCAACAGAACAGCCAGGGAGGGGTTTCCCGAGGGGGCCTTGAACTGACAGGGTGGCATTTAGAAGGCCGGAGGAATAACAGGGAGGCATTTCTGGCAGCAGGCACATGAACCATGGCCTAAAGGCTGCTTTAGGAGTTAGGTCAGTGGGTTTGGGGAAGGAGTGTGTGGGGCCTCTAGGTGCCAAGTTGTAGAGCTTGGCTTTGACTCAGGTGTTTGTCCATGGATTGTGCTCTCTCCAGACTTGGCCAGATCCCTTCAAATTTGTATTACTTGGTTCTGGTACCACAGCCAGACAACTCCTCATTAATTCCTGTGTGTGAGGCAGTAAAGAATGATGGCTGTCATCAAGAACAGAGATCATCTCAACAACAGGCCAAGTGAAGTCTTTGGACTAGGATTGACCCAACCAGTTTCAAGTAAATTACTGAACAAGCATTTAAAGAGAATTCATTTTACAATCTAGACTTTTCAGCTTCTCTTAAGCCATCTCTACTACTGACTACTTGGGGCCTACTTTCCTAAAGAGCCACAAACAGCTGAAGCAGCCAAATGTCTGTGTCTTGAAATTTGAACTTGTTTACTTGTTTTCCATTAATCCCAGTATTTTTGGAGTTTGTGACCCCTTAATTAAACTGGTTTCAGACTGTTCTGTGGCTCCCACCTCCCTCACCCATAGCAACCTAAAGTTGTGGCGTTGTCTTTGAAAGAATATTCCTGGAATAGACACTGTCCAGAGGGTCTACTGTTCTAGAATCTTCTCCATGTGGAAAAGAAGAAGGGACTTGGCTTTGGTGCCAGTATGAAAAATCATAAAACCTTGCCTGCATGCTCTTTTTACTATGCTGAGAAGTTATTTGACTTGTCAGGAAAACTGGGACTCTGGGGATGATTGCTGGGATCAGAATAGAGTATACACCCAATGACCAACAAAAACCATGGAAGAAACCTTTAAAAACCTTTAATGAAAAATGTTCCCTTAAGTTGGTTCTCTTACTCCTTCAGCTCTCTTGAGCCCAAAGCTGTCACACCCCAGGTCTCCACCTAAAGTGAAATCCCCCCCCCCCCATTTATCCCAGATAGGATCCAGCAGCTGCAGAAGGGAAATGTGCATCCTGTTTCTATTGGTGGAAACAGGCTGGAGCTTACCTGCCAGGTCTGAGACAACTGCCCAGTACATGGGTTGTGATCAGGTTGCCTGGAGGGAGATGTAACACCCTCAGTTTTTAGGCAGACAGGCCCTGATAGACAGGAGGGTAGGGCATAGCTCCCCTGCCCCACCAGACTCTTCTGGCCAGAAGCAACTTCTGAGGAAATCTAAATCCTTTGTAGTTTGTGTGCTGGGAAAATATTGTCTCGATTGTTACATCATGAAGACTGAGAAGCATGAATGATCTTTAGCCACAAATTTTTCTGTGAAAAACTCCACTTTAACACCCTCAACATTGAGGGTGCCAGGTTAAAAGACAGAGCTTCTCCAAGAGTCTGCCTATCTATTCACCCCTGCCCATGCAGCCACAAAATGCTGATTGTATGTTCATGGTATACCAGGCACCGTGTTGGATACCAGAGTTAGAGTTGTGAATGAGGCCCTCAGAGAAGCAGATGCCTGGTGGATTGAAAGGCTGAGCCCCAGGGAGTAGCAGGGTCTCTAGAGAGACTCAGCATTTAAAGGTTGAGCCTTGATCTTAACTGCCCAATAGGATGGGCCCTGTTTCCCTTAAAAACATTTTGGTAAAGGACACTGGTTAGAAAATTGGCCTAAAAAGGAACCGGGGAGGCAGACCTACCCTCCCTGTGGCTAAAGGTCAGCAAGTGATGGAGATGTTCTGGTCGGCCACAGCGAAGACGGGGAAGAGGGGTCCCGGGAACGGGGCGCGATAGGTGTGGAGCACGGTACCGGAGGATGGCTCATAGAAAAGCAGCTCTTGGGCCTCCAAGTCCAGCAGCACGCCCAGCTGGGCTGGGCAACGCAGCAGCCCCAGAGACTCATGCTGCCCATTGTGTGAGAAACAGAAATTCTGGTCATAGCGGGAGAAGACCCAAGAGAAGGCATTGTAGCCTAGACGGGAGTCACTGCCAGAACCTTTGCGTGGCAGCTGGCAGGTGGCCACGCCCACCTTATAGGCAGAACTGTTCTGAACGTTGACCATCCAGGCATGCAGCCCCGCCTGGAAGGAAGTGGTGGCTAAGGCATTGGGCCAGTGGTCAAAGCGCTCTGGGCCATCTGCACAGGTCTTGGACTTCTTGGCACTGAAGGTCAGAGTCTTTCGATCGTCTGACAGTTGCAAGTAGGGGCTGACAGTCCTTTCGTCAATACGCACATCCTCCGTTCCTGCCAGAAAGAAGTCCAAGTTACCCAGGGCTCACCCTCAGCCCTAGCAAAGGTCTCCCTTGTCATTCATGACAGTGTGATCTTAGACAAGCCATTTATTCTCTCTGAGCCTCAGTTTCCCCATTCATAAAATTGGGATCAGAGTAGGGCTTAACGTAGTGGTGAGGATGAAATCAGATGATAGATGTCAAGTGCCCAGAATACAGTAAGTGTTCAATTTATTGTGGCAATGATGAGAGTGGCTATTATTAATCCAATGACTTCATTCACAAACTCTGATAGAAATAAGACCCAAGGAGAAATTTGTTCCTCAAGGCCGTACACTGAGTTGGTAACAGGGTCAAATGAAAAGCCAACCTTTCGTACCTACGTTTAGTACCTACTATTGATCATACTGCCTACTTGGTCTTATCTGCAGCTTCCAGAATAGACCGGGCTTGTCCTAAAACACAGTTGTTGGAAGCTAAAGAAGTATCAGATAAGGGGAGCTCTGGTGGCCTAGTGGCAAGAAGCTGCAACTACAATCCCAGAGGTGCACGGTTCGAATCCACCAGATGCTCTGCCGGGGAAGGAGGGGCAATCTCCTCCTGTACCAGTCAGATCTGATTTGACGGTACACGCACACAAAAATAATAAAATAAAATTTAAAAAAATGTATAAAAAAAAGAAGTATCAGATAGGCAGTTTCAGCAACCCATTAATTAGATGTCTTGTAAAATAGGCACAGATCCCAGATTCTAGAGTAAGCAGCTTGTAGCTTATTCTAAAAATATAAGGATCTTGTGGGGGTAGAGAATGAAAATGGGGGGGAAGGGGCGGAAATCCTGTCATTAATCTCACATTTATGTGAACTGTACAAAGACCATCCCTGAGAGTGAGGAAGCCCTGGGACAAACTGCTTTGGGAATCCCAGACCAAGCAGGAGATTCCTGGAGGCAGTAGAGCATGTTCCGTTTACATCTGTGGTCCGAGAAATTAGTATGGGGCCAAGTTCACATTTGTCTGAGTCAATGCTTGTCAAGTGAATAAGTGAAGTGAACCCAGGTAACCTTCATTCTCAATCTAGATCCACTCCAGTGGGCCATAAATTTTATCTTTAAAGAGCTACTAGAAGCTTCCAAGAAATAATACTGAGTTGCCTCACCTATGTAAGGAGAAGATGATATACAAGAACGCGAGTTATCTGATACCCAACCACAAAAGAGGTTGCTCTGGAAACAGAAAAGGCCCGGTCCAGCGGCTTTACTCATCCAGAGTCCTGACCCCACTGATCAGCCTGCATCTGGCATCACTGGTCATTTAAGCTAGCATCCCAGAAGGACAGCTCTCAATGTGGCAAACCCTGACAGAGAGACATACAAACAAATGGAAACCCAGTTGTCCCACAGGTGCTGGGTTCTGGAAGTTCCTAACCTGAGAGGGACCCGAGAACTGCCGTTGCCCAGAGCTGGTTCAGTAGTGGACTCCAAGTGCACTTGTCATTAAAGTTCAGCTTCTCTGACTCCTGGGGATCCAAAATGCCCTCCGCTTCCTCTGTCCTTATGGAGAAAAAAAAAAGCCAAAACAAAGATATCAAAGCAGATTCCCGAAATATATCTGAGTCAACAGAGGCAACTGGAGGGAGACAGAATAAAAGCATGGCCCCTCCAGAGTGCCACATAATAGGTCTCCTATAAAGGCAAAGTGGCGTACAGTAAACTTCCGAGAGGGGGATACCTGTAGGCAGTGTGTAAATTAACTCTCAGAGACGGTCTACTCTCTGGGGACATGACTTTCCAGTCTCTCTTGTAAGTGGCAGAGCTGAGACCTTCCTCTTCACCACACTGCCTGGAAAATGCCTACCCTCTCTCCAAAACTACTGTAGCAGTGATGTTACCTTTCGTTTGTTTCAGAGGTCACACAGGCAAGGACTAGTCATCAATCCAATCACAGTTATAGCACTCTGCTCCTAAATACTGCCTCTCCTTGGTTCACAGAGGGGACTGGGTTTTGATAGGGAATTTGAGAATATGGAAGACCTCAGAAGAGAAATCACCATTTATCAAGTAGCCCAACCATCAGCCTGATGTTTTCCACAGGGAGACTCATTAATCTGTAAAACAAAACTGGGAGGCAGCAATTACCTCATTTGACAGAAGAAAGAACAGAGAGAGATTCAGAGAAGGCACTCAACTACTAAGGAGAGCCGGCACGCAGGATTCAAGCCCTACATCCCTGATAAAACAGAACATAGGCTGAAGCCCTGGCATCATTCAACATAATTTCAGCTTTGACACATTGTGTAGTAAAACCTCAAAACAGGGTAGGGAAAAGTCGGTTTCTGCCATATAGGTTTCTAGACTTCTGGAAAGGGTTCTGAGAAAGGACTTTTCCATCACCTCTGAAGATGGTATAAAGATCATAAAGCAGATTCGAGGGTACACACCTCCCCTAAATCTCATAGCTGCCCATAAAGGCATGGTAAGGAGAGGGGGCTAAGAGTGTGGGTCACATTCCCCAGTGGATGCATACTCTTTCAAGACTGTCACTGACTGTCCTGGTTGGAGGTACAAGGTGAACAGAGGCCCTGGAGGAGGAATGAGGTAAACATTACTGAAAAGAGATTCTAGAAACAAAGACTCTTTATGATTTGGACAAGAGAGAGTCTGCTGCTCCTTTTCTAAGCACTGAGGCCCGGCTCTGGAGAAGCCTCAGGTGAGAGGATAGCAGGTGGTGAGAGGTGGTGATAGCAGCTGTTTTAAGCTGTCACGTCAGGTAAATCTGAGGCCAAATGCAGACTCTAATGTCTACAAAGAGTCAGCTAGTACAGAAATAGCACCAAATGGGTAGGAATGAAATGAGATTCAGATATGGTAGGATCCTGGCTGGGAACAGAATTCCCAGTCCGGCCATGGATGTGGAAATGACGCAGGAGCCAAGATGAGCTTTTCTCAGCTGGACACATACATTCAAAGGTGCTTGACAATTTCTGCATACAGTGCTCTAAGAATATATGTTATCAATCTCAAGACACACAAAAAATTGCAAACAAATTTTGAACTTTGTAGGTAGAGGGATTTTCTGGACACAACTGGCATCATTTGAGCATGGACTACATATAAGAATATCACACTGATGTTAACTTTTGTAAATGGAATAATTAGATTTTGATGCTCTCTCAAATAACCTCAAAGGCACGTGGTTTAAATCCACCAGGTGCTTCCTGGGAAGAGGACAATCTCCTCCATTGTTCTAAAAACCTGCTGGAGGGTCAGCTATGAGTTGATTTTGACTGGATGTCTCTGGATAAAGTGGGAGATAAACTTAGGATAAAATTAAAAATAAAAATAATGGTTGGGCTGACTAATCCAAGAGAAACTGGTGGAACCCTGGAGACTATGGCCCTTAGCTGCCTTTAAGCATAGAACTGAACCTACCTCCTTGACACACCTTGTAGCTAAATGAGACATCTTTAAAATGAACACAACCCTAGGGAAGTGCTCAGCTCTTAAAAGAATCATCTATACAGGACCACAAGGGCAGCATCTGCCGAAGGATAAAGCTCAGAAGGCATGAAGGGAGAGTATGGGAGGATGAACTGCAATAAGCACAAAGAGGGGTGCTGGTAACAGCGAGGATTGTAACAGTGAGGATGTGGGGATTGTAGTCAAGGTCATAAAACAAAAGCTGGATTATTGGTTGAATGGAATTTCTATCTTCTTTGTGAACTTTTAACTCAGCTCACAATAAAAAAGAATTAAAGAGGAGGGAACTCCAGTTGATTACCTCAAAACAACAAGATTAGGAAGGGTGATGGAGACTACCTAATTTATCTTAAGAGGTTTTGTATGAAATTTTTTTCTCTCTTACACATGTATACTACTGAAACATAAATAAAGACACACCTTTGAGATTGCTTGAGTTCTGTTCCAGAGCAGTAAAGTAAATTCACAATAAAGCTAGTTGTGACATTTGTGGTGTCCCAGTGCATAAAAGTTATGTTTACCCTATTGGTGGTGGTGGTGGTATGTGCTGTCAAGGCAGAACCAACTCATAGCTGACCCTCCAGTGGGTCTGCAGAGGCTGCAAATCACACAGGAGGAAACTGCTCATCTTTCTTCTAAGGAAGAGCTGATGGATTCAAACTGCATGCCTTTGGGTTGGCAGCACAATTCTTTAACCACTAGGTCACCAAGACTCGCTATACAGTAGTCTATTAAGTGTGTGACAATTACCAAATTGTGACAGAGACACAAAGTGAACACATAATATTGGGAAAATGGAGTTGTAGCCTTGCTGGATTCAGAGTTACCACATATCTTCAATGCGTAAAAAAAAATAAATAAGAAAACCAAACAACTAAAACCACCCTAGTATTTGTAAAGCACAATAAAAGAAAACATCATAAAATGAGGTATGCTAGTCAAAAAATAAAGAAGAATAAACTATGGTCTCCAAGTACAGCTCTGAAATCTCATTCACACAGGAAGTTTGAGAAAGTTAAATTAAAATTGGCAGATAACATCCTCTTGGCCACTTCCTTAAGCGCTTTCAGGACCCAGAAAAGGCCTAATGAAATTATTAATATATAACTAAAAATGAAAATTTTTAGTTTTAGGGATCATTTCATCAGAAAAAGGGAGAGTGAGACACACTGGCAATATAAGATGGGTATTACAAGGAATGAGTCCAAGTCCCGGCTCTGGGATTTATGCAAGTCCCCTCTGAGCCTTGACATCCTAATCTCTAAATATGATAGCAAACAGTCCCAACAGGGTGGCAAGACTCCAATGAGTGTGTATGTACTTCATCATCCTTCCATGACTCTCAAGTAATTCTCTACGGCAGGAACACCCACTGTCCAATGAGTCTGGCTCCATAGAAGCCACTCAAGTGCCCTCCTCTCAAGAGCAGTGGGGCCTTGATGCAAAAAGTGGGTAAAAGCCTAAGCACTGTGGTCTCCAAAAGTACTCAAGCATTCATGGGGACTGTACTCACCTCTCAAAAACCTCTTGCTCTTTCTGCTGTAAGGGGGAGAGAGAAAAAAACAACCAAAATCAGGCTTGACACCAGAAATCCTATAGTTAGTGAAGATATGAACATATTTAAATAGCTTGGAGGATTCCACATGAGCAGAGACTCAATTTTTTAAAAAAATCCCTTTCTTTTAATATGTAGCATAAAGCATACTGTTCTCACACAAAATTATATTTGATTACATTGCCATTTCGATTCAGCCACCTTAGAGGATAAAGCAGAGCTTCTCCATATGGTTTTCAAGGTTGTAAAACCTTTACCAGTGTAGCACCTGGTGGATTCAAACTACTGACCTTTAGGTGACTAGCCAAGCACTGCAATACCATGGGTCTTTTCCAATAATATAAACTGGGAATAAATCCCTCTATTCCCTCAGCCCAGTGCTGTTCTGGTTTCTCCCATATACATTTCAGGATAATTTTCTATTTCCCCAACCTCCCAAATGGGTGGGATACTTTCTGAACTTTCTAGTTTGACTGTCCTGGTGTTCAGGACAAAATGTGTCCTGTACTTGGAAGCTAACTAAATGAATGCAAAATCTAGGACAGTCATGGAAACTTCCCTAATTGAAACTGTGAGACACATCAGTTGCTCTGCTTGACAGTTTTATTCTGACATCACAGTGTCAGCTCAAAAGTGCAGGCATCTGAATAGTTATATAAAATAATTTCAAAGGAACTGTATCAAAATGTTAATCAGTGATCTCCCAGTGGCAAGATTAAGGATTAGGTCCACACTCTCCTATTCAATCTCTTTTTTTTAGGCCTGAACTCTCTCCACCGCTACACTTCCGTTGTCCTAACTCTTCTTTGTTTTTTAGGCATCAGCTTCTAGCACATTTCCTCCGGGAAGCCTTTTCCTGGCCCCACCTGGTTTGTGGAACCTCCTAGCTCTCACTGACTTCCTTTACACACATCCCTCCATCTCCTGTCAGTTTATGTATGTGTCCCTTTCCAAAGGCAGTGAGTGGCTTAGAGAGGTAGTCTTTAACTTGATCTCATAGCACGGGGTCTAGTACATCTCATATCACAGGGTCTAGTACATAACAAGCATTCAACAAATAATTTCTCATTATTAAAAGAATGACGTTACCAGCTGTAAAAAACCATCTATATCATTTCATTCTCTTGTCTCTCTTTAGCTCCAAATTCTCATTCCAGGAAACATCCTTAGTACTTTCAATCTTTGGGGGAGTTTGGCCAATGGCTTCTGCACCTACTCATGCCCACTCACAATCAGCTGGAGGTCATCCAGATGGGTGAGCATGCCCACCAGGCTGGTGCGGATGGTATCGAGCTTCTGCAGCACCTCTGCCCAATGTGCTCTCTGGGTCAGGATACTCTGGTGGGTGCGTTCCTCCTCACCGTGCACCTGCTCCAGTAACCGCTGCTCCTCGCTCTCACACAGAGTCCGTACCAGACTCAGCCTCTGGATGACCAGTTCTCGTGCTGCGCTCGCCATGCTCTGTCAAAGAATAAAACAAGGAGTGAAGTCCTAGCAAAGTCCTAATCAGGATTACAAGGGTTTGGGCTCAGCAAGGAGTGCCGAGATTGATTAGCAATGACTGCGATGGACTCGGGAATGGAAGTGCTTAATCCATTTTCTTTTATGATGAAGAAGATCCAGATACTCAAGTCATAATTCATGGAGCCAGAATCACAGGATGGAAGAGTTAGGCAGGGTTTTGAGAATATTTAAAGTTGCCTGCTTATTTCACAACTGGAAATACCAAAGGTGAGAGACCAAGATGACAGAATGATGTAACTGCAGGGCAGAAAAGCCTAAAGCCATTCACATCGACAGCCTCTGTACTATGTGGTAGTCCAGTTGTTATTTTGACCATATCTGTGGACAAGTAGCTCATAACTTCCTAAAGTTGTCCATTGCAACTGGTTCTGTGGTAGAATTCTGGCCTGCCCACAGGAGGCCTAAAATCAATCTTCAGTCAATGAATCCATCCAGTATCATCATCTACGCCATTAGCATAATACATGGCACATAGTAAGCATACCTGTATTTACTGAATGGGAAAGTTTTCACCAACTTAGTCTAAGATTTCTTGATAGTGTTCACATGGTAAGCCAGCAAGTATTCAAAGAACTCGGTGTTCTTAACTCAATCCAGTCCTCTTTCCCTATACCCAATGCCAGGTGGTAACCAATATTCCTCAAAGGTCCCTGCCTCATGAAGGGACTCTCTTGCCAAATGAAAGTAGAACTGCAACCTTCAGCCCAGAGTCAGGGATAGTCAGAAGCTTTGCGTGGGCCTTGTCCCTGAAGACCTGCTTTATTCTACAGAGGAAACTGAAAACTCCACAAGTTGCCCTGAAATGGGAAAAGTGCTGAAGCGAGCAGAAAGTAAGCCAAGGAGTGTAGACTAAATAGAAAATGCATAATTATACCTTAGTTCTATACCCACATGTATCAACAACCACAATAGTGATCAACAGAGTAAACTATTTAGTCGGAATTTCTTGTAGGGAAATGCAACCAGGGTGTTCTTTAGAGGCAAGGATGATGAAATTTTAGCTCACATACTTTGGGCATATTGTCAGGCAAGTCCAGCCCTTAGAAAAAGAGATCATGCTTGGAAAAGTCAAAGGTCAGCAAGAGAGTGGAAGATCTTCAACAAGGTGAACTGATAGAGTGACTGCAAGGCGGGTTTGGTCATGGTGGGGACTGTGAGGATGGTGAAAGGAGGACAAAACTTGGATCTGCTGTTCACAGGATCGCTGAGTCACACCGGTTTCAGTGGTACCTGACAACAGCAGGGACTGCCAGACTGGATTAAGCAAAGAAAAGAGAGAAATACAGAACAAAACCCAATTACAAAAGAAATTTAAAAAATGAGAAAGGATTGTTAGTGATGCCATGGTTAAGCATTTGGCAGCTAACTGAAATGCTGGCCTTTTAAAACCACCCAGTAAACACTGCAGAAGACAGATCTAGAGATCTTCTACTCTCATAGATTTTTTAAAGTCTAAAAATGTCTATGGGGCAACTCTACTTTGTCAAATGGGATCAACAGGAGTCAAACTCAATTCAATGGATACCTGCATATGGAAAACTTTAACATACTGTTAAAAGAAGGTGTGCCTGATCCAAGCCAAGGTCTTCTCAACTGCTTGGGATGCATCTGAGAGCAGGACAATGACTAAGAATGACAGAAGAATCATCAATGCCTTTGAGTTGTGGTGCTGGAAAACAGACGGAACATCACATGATGTTCAATGAACCATGAAAAGAACAAACAAATCAATCTGTGCTGGAAAAAGTGAAACCAGGGTGTTCCCTGGAGGCAAGGATAATAAAACTCTGTTTCACACACTTTTTCATGTTGTCAAGAGAATAGTCCTGGAAGAAGGGCATCATGCTTGGAAGAGCAGAAGGTCAACACAAAAGAGGAAGACCCTGGATGAGACGGACTGACAAAGTGACCATGGCAATAGGGGCCAGGTGTTTTGGAAACGGGTGAGGTTGGCTCAGAATAGGCAAGGTTTAGAGACATTGTTCATAGAGTCAGTATGAGTCTTAGTTGAATCAATGGCACATAACAGCAGCAACAAGAGCTTCGTAACACTGATTTAAAGTTGCAAGGCTAAAGGCTGAAGGGCCTGGGGGCATGCTTGACCAGCTGGCCTAACTGAAGAATTGTGTCCAGTTTACTGAACTGTAACTGGTTTACTTTTCTCATAAATTCTGTAACTGTTGAGTATGGTTCTGAGTTGTGTGGCCATTAAAACATTTTATTAGAAACTAAACAGGAAGAAATAAAAAATAAAAAGAAAAAAACCCCATATTATGAGACCTAGTGAAAGCCCTAAGAGAGAGAGATAGTGAGTGTCAGACTTGATAGAAGTAGATACAGGAGCATGGTGGTGGTGGTGGTGGTGGTGGTGGCAGGGCATGTGTGACCTCAAGGGAATTAGTTAGTACTATGGATGGTGTTAAGAGGGAGGTGATTCCCCCTCATGGAGTTAGAGGAGGTCAGATTTGATGGTCCCTATGCCAGATGCACTGTTTTTATAATAATTCATAAACATTTTGATTCATGACATTGATTGCAAAAACATGGGACTGAACAAACCATGGACCTTTAGATCTTCAGTCTAAAGCTCTTACAACTAGGCTACTTCTGTTTTTTGGTGTTTTTTTTTAACAGCTGGTACTTTTAAAACATTAACAAGATAGTCAAACCTGTGGCAATTTTAATAAGGAACAAGATAAGGCAAAATAAACAATAACAGGAGTGAAATTTAGACATTCACAAAGATTTCAGAATCACAACTAAGAACAACTTCATGCCATTAAATTTTCATTTCAGTTGATTCTCACTCGTAGCTGCCATATAATGGAGTTGAGATGTTCCACAGGGTTTCCTGCTCATGGTTCAAAATCAGGAAGGTAGTGTGTCAGAGATGCATACCTTTCAATCTGTATGCAGAACAGATCATTCAAGAGGCTGGGCTTTATGAGGAAGAATGTGGCATCAGGATTGGAGGAAGACTCATTAAAACCTATGTTATGCAGATGACACAACCTTGCTTGCTGGAACTAAAGCAGACCTGAAGCTCTTGCTGCAGAAGGCCAAGGACTGTAGTCTTCAAAATGGATTGAAGCTCTACATCAAGATGACAAAGATTCTCACTGCTGGGCCAATTGGCAGCACCATCCATGATGGATGAAGAAGAGTTTGAGATTGTTAACAGTTATAGCTTGCTCAGCTCCACAATCAACATTCTTGGCATCAGCAGTTATGAAATCAAAAGACGAATTGCATTAGGTAAATCTGCTGTTAGGGACTTTTCCAGAGTACTAAGAAGCAACAATGCCAATCTAGAGACTAAGATATGCTTTATCCAGTACATGGTCTTCACAATTACTTGCTATGCATCAGAGAGCTGGATAATGACTAAGGATGACAGACAAAGAATTGATGCCTTTGAGTTGTGGTGCTGGAGAAGAGTCTTGGATCATGGACCACCAAGAAAACAAATAGGTCTGTCATGAAGAGTGTGCAACCAAGTTTCTCCTTGAAGGATAGGATTTTGAAGCTCCACCTCACATACTGTGGGCATGTGGCCAAGAGGAATTGATCCTTAGAGAAGGACATCATGCTCAGAAAGGAGGAAGGACAGTAAAGGAAGGGAAGATCCTGGATGAGATGGATTGATAAAGTAACTGGAGCAATGAAGGTAGGTGTGTCGGAGTCAGTGAGACTGGCTCAGGACAGGGAAGGCTTCAGAGCTGCTTTACACAGGGTCGCTATGAGTCACAGGCAACAGCACATAACAACAGCAGCATTCTTAAGAGAGGAAGCTCTCTGATGATCTAGTCTTTAGGGAGCTAAGGTGCTAACCTAAAGGCAGCCAGTCTGAACCCACAGCAGCTCTGCAGGAGGAAAAGAGGCAATCTCCTCCTGTGTGACTTATAGCATCTGAAAAACTCAGTAGAAGGTCAGCTTCAACGGCACAGCAATGAAGGTTGGTTGTTGTTTAAAAAAATTAGCTCGTAGGTGACTAAGTCTTTACTATCTTGAAACCACTCTCATTAGAATCTAGTCAGTTCTGACACACAGCTGGACTCTCCAGCAGGTTTCCAAGGCTGTAAACTGCACAAGCGGAGATTACCCATCTTTCTTCTCCTATAGCATTTCTGGTGGATTTAAACTCAAAACATAAATACTTACTATAAAAGTCACTGAGTTATTTTACAGTTTTAGGACTATACACAAAATAATCTCATGTTAGAGGAAGGCTACCCTTTCTGATTACCTACCCAAAGATGCATGAGAAAGCAGTTTTCTAAGTCTTTATACCCAGCGTGTAACAGGGAATAAGCTCACCCTAGCACTGTCACAAGTCTCAAGCATATCAGAGATGACGAGGGCCAGGAGTCATAATCGACTCACTAGCACTTAACAATAATGTACTAAGGAGGGTTCGGTGAGATGGTAGGCCAGCATTCCGAGATATCCAGGACAGTGAGTCTATGTGGACAGGAAGAACCCTAGACTTTTACAAGCCCCTAAGGCCTGGAATCTTCTCTTCAGGGGTGGGAGTGCGGGAGAGGGAGAGGGCCAAGGGGAAGAATTACCACTGCTCTCTGGTTCTTTCCTGTTAGGACCTCAGCCACATATTTGGTGATGCCGGCACTCTGCAACTGCAGCCTTTCACACTGGTCCACAATCTTGTTCTGCAACACAAAACACACCCCACGTTGACCCATTTATATGATTCATCACTCAATTCCAATAATTTCCCCCCCTTCTACCCCATCTCAGGTACCAAACCTCAGACCACAACCATAACCTCCACAATCTTCATTTTAAGGGTTCCATACATTGTATCCTCCTAGCTCCCTAACTCTAGAATCCTCACTCCCACAATTCTTCAGTTCAGTCGAGGCTCTTACCATTTCACTGGTCACTTTTCTCTTTCCATCATCCTCCTTTATGGCTTTTATTTCCTTTCTTTTGGCTTCCTCCCTCCTTCATTCTCAACTCCTTGACACTCCACCCCTGCATCTGAATAAAATGTGACTTCTGAAATGGATCTTCTTCAAGTTATCATTATTCACTAAATAGCACCATCAAACATTAACTTCATTACTCAGAACAAAACCCCAAAAGTACTTTGAGTCTCACATCAAATCCATCAGAGTCCTATTAGGCCCATCCCCAAAGCAACTCGCTCTTCTGACCACTTCAGCACCTGAACTTCTGCTATTCAACCCAGATCTCCATTATCATCATTTCTCCCAGAAACCACTCGAAGAACTTTCTGAGCTTCCATTTTTTTTATTTCTACAGTCATTCAGAGCCACCTTTGCAAAGAAATCCAATAAAGAAATCTACTCCCTTATTCAAAACGCCCTTTCCAATACATGTACAGTAAAGTCAAATTTCTTAGCTTTGTCAACAAGGCCCAGCCTGATGTGACTACTTATTTTTTCAATATCAGCTCTTAGCATTCTCCATTCTGACCTTTTCATTCCTTAAAAAACACCAAACTTGTCCTCACCTCAGAATCCTTGCACCTGTTCCTCTGCTCTCGCAGTCTTCCCTCCTATTTTTGCATGACTCATACCTCCTCTTCCCTACCCCCTACTTCACTCAGGTCTCTGCTTAAATGTCATCTCTTCAGAGAGCTTTTAAAAAACCTTCTCCACCCTCCATTCCTTTCTCCCTCTCTCTCATTACCACTGACTTGTCAATGAGACGCAAAGTTGCCCCTCCTGCAGGTTTTGAGGCTGTAAATTGCATAGGAGGAGACTGCCCCGCATTCTCCTTTGGAGTGCTGGTTCTGGATTAAAACGCCAAAGATAGGTGACCTTTGGGTTAGCAGCCAAATCTCTATGAACTACACCACCAGAGTTTCCTCCCTTCCTTTACTTTTTCTCCTTTGTAACTAAACATTATGTATTTTTTATTTTGTGCTCTCTGTCCCCACCACCACTGGAACATCAGCCATGATTTTCTCTGTTCTCTCAGGCCTGTTCTCTGTTGCATCCTAGTATCTAGCAAAATTTTTGAGTATAGAGGACCCTGCATAAATATTTGCTGAATGAACACCCACAGCCTTGACTACAAAAAGATGGGCCCATTCATGGTTCACAAAAACTTTCAACATTACCAGTTGAGCTCTGTAGAGAAGAGAGCTGCTCGCAGAGCCATGGCTAAGCCCCTGTTCTTCCTTTCACTCCATTTCTCCAGGTTACAACTGGAGCCCCTCCCTAATTTCCCATCCAGGAAGTCCTCAAAAACTCTTTCTCCCTAAAGTGGAAAATCAGGCTTCCATTTCACAAGTTTAAGTAAAAAGTTACAAAACCTGAACTCACTAGGAGGAAGCTGTGATCGCCACATACTATGGGACTGAGGGAACTGAGACGGGCTTCTGAAAAGCTAAATGGTAGGAATCTAGGTTAGTGAAAGAGGAGCTAAACTAGTGCTGGTTTTATCCAGTTTGGTCACAAATTTGCCCTGGGGTGCAGTTTCTTTGCCAGCTGGGGACTGAAGAAATCTACTTAGAACTGGCGGGAGAGAAGGCAAGACAAATCTCCCTTCAAGCCTAAGAGAGGTACGTATGCTCAGGACTGGAAGGGTGCTAGGGAAGCACCATGGTGCAGAGTGCATTCACAACACGCCTCCTGCACCCTTCAGCTATTCAGATCCAATACTGATGGCAACTCTCCCCCTCTTTATTTCTTAATAAAGTACATAACTGATTTTAAAGGAGTCCTTTTATGGCTAAAGGTTTCTCAATGTGCACCTTGCAATTTCAAATCGTTCAAATTAAAACATGGTGGGTTTATATTAGTAACAACCATATCTATATTTTAACATTTACATGCCAGGTCTGACCTTGTGTTGAAGACGTGGGTACGTTTTTCCAGTTTAAACCCAGATCTCAACAAAAGAACTAAACGGCACACTTTTCTAAAAGGTGTCACAAAATTCTCACTCCCACTAGCATCATCTCCCTTCAACTACTTCTTCCTTTTACTTACTAACTCCCTAGGCCCAGTCCTTGAGTCTGAGGAACCTTGAAGGACTAACTGTCCTATTCCAGGCATGTTTCCTTATCAGTAAAATGCAGGTGGGGCCTCCACTTCAAAAGCTTGGTTTGGATGGGATGAGATGACAGATATAGAGTAGTCTGGAATTTGCCAAGTTTCCATCCATCATACAAGTTTATGATACTACACTGTATATATTTATTATCAGCATTATTGTTGATGGCGGTGGTGACACCACCAACCAAGAGTTTTCTAACCTCAGCACACTGTAGGTTGTTTATTATAATCCAATTTAAGTAGGCAAAGCCCCTCTGGTCTCACAACAGGGCTGGATTCCAGGGTGATGCTAGGAGAATAAAATTATTTAAGAACATTGCACAGAAAGCCCCCCAGGAATCAGAATTTGTAATGGAAGGAAGCCCAGGATGAATTTAACGCCCCAGCCCTAGCAGCTCAAAATGGGAGGATGACTACAAGTTCACTAGTCTGAAGTAAAATTAGAAGTGAAGGTGGGGGGAAAACCCTAGGTGAACCGCTCCACCAGGAAACTCTTATATCCACCCGCCCCTGTGGCTGATCCTGGTGAAACCAGCTTGCAGGACAACCAAGGCCAGTGCTGGCAGGGAAAGAAATCTCCTTACCAGGAAGCCAGAAGAGTGGTGGGAGGGGCTTTGAGCCAAGGAGTAAGAGATGAGAGCCTAGGTTTTAATAGTGGTCAGCTGCCATGGGGGGCTGGTGTTGAGGCACACTTGGCCCCCTAGGAGCTGAAGCAACTGAGCCCTCTATTGCCCAAAGCCAGCCACAGCTCTCCTCTCCCTCAACAGTGCAATGGAAGAGAGGGGGCGCATGAATCTACCAGAAATAACTTTCAGTTGAGCTATATGACAGGCATAATGGCTAAAAAAAAAAACACTTCACACATAATTTTACTGTATCTCACTACTCATTACTGAGTCATTAGTCTAGGAATCATTATTGCACTCAAATCACCGATGCTCGATCACTGAATTCATATGTGGGATTCGAACTCAAGCTACACCTTTAATCGCCTTGCTTTACAGCCATGTTACCGAGGTGCCTGGGCTTCTGAATCTTGCCGTCGGGTCCACTGAACCCACGTTCCCCCTCTGGCCGGGTTCTGCCCTGCGCGGCGCCCTGGCGTGTCCCCTCCTCGGGAGCCCCCCTCCCTCCGGAGCCCCCCGCCTTCCGGTGCCCGAGCTGGCTCACCCGTAGCTGCTCGGCGCGTTCCTCGGCCCGGCGGATGCGGTGCCCCCCGCAGCGACCGCCTAGCTCCGCGCAGGCGGAGCACACGAGTCGCCGCTCGGAGCAGCAGAACCAACTCAGAGGCTGGCCATGTTCAGGGCAGAGCGGCTCCGGCTCGGCCCCGGACTCGGCCCCCAGCCCTGGCCGCAGGCCTGCTCCCTCCAAGGACATGGCCGAGTGGCGGCCGCAGGGCACTCCACCTGTCGCAGGTGGCTGCTGGGCGGGGCCTCCCTGGCCCCACCCTTGGCCCCGCCCAGTGCGCCCGCGCGCCCCGCCCGCCCTGCGAGGCGCTCCCACCCACCACCCTGCTTCTGCGGCGCGGGCCACCCTCACCGTGCCCAGACCCTGTCGCCGGCCTCCACCCTTCCACGGTCGGCGGTCTTTTGAGCTCTCTGCTTAATTAAATGGCATTGTATGTATGTTGTTTGTTTTTTCAGCAAGCACAAGCCACAAATCGTAATCACATATAGTAATCACAAATAGTAATCGAAGGAAACGTCTCGAATCCCTGGGTGATCAGAAACTGAGCTTCTAACTAAAAGCTGGCTATTGCGTACACCCAGACAGATCCATAAGAAAGATCCGAGGGAGCTCTGGTGGCTTAGTGGCAAGAAGCTGCACTGCAACCCCAGAGGTACACAGTTCGAATCCACCAGATGCTCTGCTGCAGAAGGAGGGCAATCTCCTCCTTTACCAGTCAGATCCGATTTGACGGCACACACACACACAAAATATTAAAAAACTAAAAAAAAATTAAAAAATCTGACAATCTATTTCCCCAAAAACAACTTTTGAAAACCCTATTATAGACACATGGGCGCGCTATGAATCAGAGTCAACAAGGCAACTGATTTTATAAGAAACTTTATTGAGCGATCATTAAGAGCTAGTGAACTCTTGGTGATGAGTAGTCGGTAGGCATCTCTAGCGGTCCAATTCTGCAGCGGCTCAGAGGGAGAAAGTCTTAACCCTACAGCTAAGACTTACAACTTCGGACATTGATTAAGGGTTGCTGCAAGTAGAGAGCATTGAGCGTATTAAGCGCTAAGCGCCCTGGTGAGCTTTGGTTGCTTGGTGGTAATGAATTGCACTGTCACATAAAGGCAAGAAGTTCGAATCCACTAGCTACTCTGTAGGAGAAAGATGGGCGATTTCCTTCTGTGCGATTTAGTGCTTCTAAAAACACACTGGAGGATCAGCTATGAGTCCACTCTATAAAACAGTAAGGTAGTGTTGTGTTTAAAGCACTAGCTGTTAACAAGTAGCTCCAGGAGAAAAATGTGGGGGGTCTGATCTAATAAAATATATATATATATAGTCTTGGAAACCCTCTGAGATAGTACTACTATGTCCAATAGGGACGCGATGAGTCACAATCAAGTGAGGACAGCGAGGTTTAAGTGGCAGGGTTCTGCTAAACTCTTGATAAGCATTCTATCATTTAATCCTCATGATAATGCTTTTGAGGGGCAGCTTTGGAGAAATATCTCAAATTCTACTTAGCTGCTTACAGGGTATTCTCCAGGATCTCAAACGCAAAATGGGTATAATGAAAGCAGTTACCACACTGGTCTGTGCCATTGAAATAAGTGAAACAATATATGGCACCTAAATCACAGGCGACAGACGGCACATAACACCACCACAACTGTTGTAATCCCCAAGCAACTGCTGGTAGTATGAGAAAAGCATTGTTATGATTCATATTTTTAAGGAGCTTCAGTTTGCTCGGCTCCATGGTCAACACTCTTGGCACCAGCAGCCAGGAAATAAAAAACGTATTGCAATGGGAAAGTCTGCTGTTAGGGACCTCTCTAAAGTACTCAAGAGCAACGGTGTCTCTCTGGAGATTAAGGTGCGCCTGATACAGGCCACGGTCTTTGCAATCACTTGTTATGCATCAGAGAGTTGGACAATGACTAGGGAGGATAGAAGGAGAATTGATGCCTTTGAACTGTGGTGCTGGAGAAGAGTATTGAATGTACCATGGACTGCCAAGAAAACAAACAGATCCATCCTAAAGAGGGTTAAACCAGGCTACTCCTTGGAGGCAATGATTCTGGGGCTTCGTCTGACATACTTTGGATATGTTGTAAGGAGAGACAGGTCCTTGGAGAGGGACATCATGCTTGGTAGGGTAGAGGGACAGCGTAGGAAGGGAAGACCCTCTATGAGGTGGATTGATTCAGTGACTGGGGTAATTGGGATGGGTGTGTCAGAGGCCACGTGATTGGCACAGGATAGAGCAGGGTTTAGAGTTGTTGTACATAGGGTCGCTATGAGTCGCAAACGACTCGACGGCACATAACAACAACAACAACAAGTAACCAGACTGGCAGTTACCAACTAAATTGTGGCACATGAGATGGAATGTAGACATTTTGATTTGTGGTTACTATGATTAGTAAATTTTTAATTGGACAAGTAAGGCCCAAGGAAAAATGTGTTGGATGAACTTACCAAAAATATTTGTATTTAACTTTTTAATTTGTATTTTAGGAGGGGTGTGTTTTAATGAGCATTAAAAAGAAGTAATACATGTTTAATGATGTATAAAATACAATATACCACATGTAGAAAAAAGTCCCACCCCCAGAAACAACCCAGAACCACCACCACCACCCATTTCTACACCACATGGCTGTCAATCTGTGGTGCCATGGTAACTTACGTGTAGCTATGGTGCTAGAGCCTGATATCTTTAATATCAGCAGGGTTATCTGCAAGAGGTAGGTTTCAAAGATTTTTTTAAATTTTTTTTTTAAATTATTTTTTTTGTGTGTACCATCAAATCGGATCTGACTGGTAAAGGAGGAGATTGCCCTCCTTCTGCAGCAGAGCATCTGGTGGATTCGAACTGTGTACCTCTGGAATTGCAGTGCAGCTTCTGGCCACTAGACCACCAGAGCTCCCTCAAAGATTTTTTTTAGATTAGGACTGATTAAGAAGAAAGGCCTAAAGGTCTAACTCCAGAAACCAGCCAATGAAAAGTCTATGAATCACAAAAGAACATTGTCTTTTTTTAATCACTCACTCATTTCCATGAGCTGGTGACAACTCATGGCTGACAATCCCCTCCACTGGGTTCTCAAGGGTGTAAATCCTAACAGGAAGATTCTGTTCATCTTTCTCCAAAACAGAAGTGGTTTGAATCTCCACAGAAACTGTGCGACTAGCCAGAGTTCCCTGTTTGAAAGTGCTGGATGAAACGTTAACAATGGAATCAAACATACCCAGCTGAACTCAGCAAGGCTTCATTACATGCTAGATGGCTGTTAACAACACAAGTACCTGATCTGCCATATGGTTAAATATTAATCCACCCACCCTCAATCACTACCATCAAATAGGTTCTGATTCAAAGTGACCCTGAAGAACAGCATGGAAATGCTCCCTGGAGTTTCCAAGGCTGTGAATCTTTATAGAAATAAATTATTTTGTCTTCTCCCATGGATCAGCTGGTGGGCTTGATTAACAGTCAAATGCTTGAGCCACAGTGCAACTAGAAGATCTCTTTTTTTAAAAAAAAATTATTTTATTATTTTGTGTGTGTACCGTCAAATCAGATATGACTGGTACAGGAGGAGATTGCCCCTCCTTCTCCAGCAGAGCATCTGGTGGTTTTGAACCGTGTACCTCTGGGACTGCAGTGCAGCTTCTTGTCACTAGGCCACCAGAGTTCCCTTGGAAGTCCTCTTTTTCTTAAAGAAGCCATTAGACTGAGGCCTCTGCTGGTGACTTAATCTGTCTGGATATGCATGGAGAGCACTGCCCTCTAATCTCCAATCTGCCTTTCAAGATCTTGGCAGAGGGCTGAGGAAAGAACACTGCTTAAATAAACAGACCTAGGCTGTTAAAGAGGGTTCTGAGTTCCCCAGAACTGGACACAGATGAGAGCAAAAACTGAATGAGAAACATCATTACATCCCAGGGCACACTGGGTCTTCTCTTAGCCCTGACATCTGCAACCCCTGAAGGGTGGGGCAGCCAACAACCACAGAATTTCCAGAACAGTAATGAGTTATGCCATCATCCAGTGTGGGTACATTGTAACCACAAACATTAAAAACCTTCACACTGAGACAAGTTCAGTTATCAGCTATGACACTTAAAATTGTTTTGCCTCTCTCTGTTTTCCTTTTCTTATCTAAAAAATGATAATCATATTGTTAGAGGGAACTCTGATGGCTTAGTGGTAAGGAGTTACATTGCCATCCCAAAGGCACTTGGTTCAAATCCACTAGTGGTTCAGTCTCCCCCCCTATACGCACTACACCACACTGGCATTACAGTAATATCTAGTCAATATCTGGGGTGCATTTGTGAGGATCTGCACTTACACCTGTAGGATTAGAGAATGTAGATTGTGTGGAGTTCTTGGCAAGGGGTGTGCAGTATACACAGCATAAAAAGTTTTTCTGTGTAACCCAGCGGGAGGGTGATGATCTCATGACGGCACGTATTTATTTTGGGGTGAAGGTGGAAACTGGTCAAAGCAGAGATCACACTGTGGTTTGAATTTTTGTGTGTTCTAAGGGCTGGGAAGGAGTCCTCATGGTACAGTAGTTAAAGTGTTCAGCTGCTAACAGGAAAAGTCAGTGGTTTGAGTGGGGAGAAAGAATAGCAGTCTTCTGTCAAGGTTTACAGCCTTGGAAACTCTGAGACATTCTACTCTGTCCTACAGAGTCATTGAGAATCAGAATTAACTACACATCAGTGGGTTTGGTTGGGTTGTTTTTGTGAGGTTTTCCCCCTAGATGAGAGAGCTAATGGTGTGAGGACAACTATTAAACTTTGTGAAGAAAAAGAAAACAAAACCTAATTCTGTGTTAAGGCTACAAAGATAAAAAATATTTTGGAAAAGAGAAGGGATTCTAGTTTAGGATTAATTCAAGGATCCTTTATTAAGTGTGGCTCTGGAGCAGTCAGTGATCCTAGAAAGAATGGAGTAAGGAAAAACCCAACACTCCACTGCTTTTGTGTCAATTCTGACTTATAGCAACCCTTTATTAGTTTCCACGGAGGGTCTTCTCTTCCTTTGCTTAACCCTCCACTTATCCAAGCATAACGTTTTGCCCCAGGGACAGTCCTTCCTGATAATAAAGTCCCACCATACTTACTTCTAAGGAGAACTCTGGCTTCATTTATTCCAAAACAGATTTGTTCATTCT